ACACAAAATGAAATATGCTCTGTTTCACGGTGGTAACTTCCACCTGAATTGGTTGGAGGATTTCATCATGAGCTGACATCGGTTAGAGAACCACTGGAAAACCTGCAGGGAGTACTGGACAGCTGTTCTGTCCTAGCTTGGGACTCTTCAGCATTACGCACCCACCACCACTGTTCGGACCCAGGAACTTCTGGTTACAAGGCAAGCTCGTAGACCATTAAGTCACGGGGACCTGATCCAATTGCCAGCCCGTGGATTCCAACTTCTGCCAATTCACGACATAGCGCAACCACTTCGCAATGTCTTCTTCGATGAGTTACTGCTGCACGCTACTGTTCACGGCTTCCCATTAGAACCCCAGGAAAAGGGCCAGTCGCTAGTTAGCATCAAATCAATTTCTAAGTACTGATTTGCAGGGATTTCGTTTGATTGGTTGGAGGATTTCATCAAGAGCTGACATCGGTTAGAGAACTTAAATCTTGTATATATTTATAAATGTTAGACAATTCACGCACACTCACACACACACACTTACCCAACTGAACTTGACGTCATACCTACACAGCCACAACAAATCTAAATAACTCATTTTTTATAGTGCATGAGTTTAGATGGAGCACAGTAAATGAACAAAGTTACTGAGGGTTAGTAGGACTGAATATTTCATCCTACTTCAATTGGAGAAAAGAATATTCATTATTTTTACGGTTCATTTCTCTACATCACCTGCTTAAAACTGTCCCAAAGTTAGACTGTTTAGAAAAAAAACAATAAGTTATATAAGTAGCAAGTTTGAGGTTAAACTTTCATATTGGTACTTTGAAATGAGAATATTTGATTTACACTGTTAAAAATACCTCTCTTATAAAATTAGGTATATGAGTTAGAAATTAGTGATTAGTAATGTTTGCATACACAAATGAATAAATGGTTCTAGGTTATCCGAAATACAATTCCCTTTAGTCAGGTACTAACTAAGTCTGTGGCTCTGTGAATGGGTTCGAGTTTCACTTCTTCGTGATACATTTAAATCTTTCAGTTTATATCTCTAAATCACAGATATTTTCTCCGCACATTTAATAGTGCACAGACTGTAGGCAGGCTTAATCCAGCTTGATAAAATTGAATCGTTAAACCGGGACAGAACATTTATTCCAATGCAGTTGATTAACCTACAAACTCGACCTTATGCAACCAACATAATTGGTTATTTGTAAGCCTAACTTTCTGAGGTACGTAATACTTGCATATAATGTATTTTTTGTATGATAAAATTGAATAGTTCTCACTGATGAGGGCTAGTATGTCTTCTGTATTCTTTTTCACGAGTTTAAGGGTGTGTGTGTGTGTGTGAATTAACTGTTAATCATTAAATGGTCTTCAGTCAAGTTGCTTAATGCCTCTAAGTATCGAACCCACAAGTCAGTAGTATTATTACGTCACAAGCCGACATAACAATGGGTTTGCAGCTGTTTCTGTCTATTTGACGCTCTCTAGAGAAGCAATCTGTTCACAAGCTAAATCAGAATGAATAAGTTCTTGTTGATCAAATATCAAACAACGATTACTGAACTGAAGATCCACTAGTAATTCACACAGAAGTAGATCCCAGTATTATGTTATAAAACCAGTTTTTTTGACTATTTGATTGATTATAATTTGACCGATCAGTCAATATAATACACCTCCATCCTATTTCTCTCACTCTCTGGTTTGCTGTTTATGATATCCAGCATATTATAGTGTGCGATCTGAATATTTTTTTTAGTGTCCAGAGGAAACTGCGATGAAATCTCTCCACGAACTGTGATGACGGCAATTGTTGTGACTGAAAAACTCGGTAATTCATCATATGAACCTTTGGTGGGTATTTAGTTATAGAGAGATGCAAGGGACTGCGGAAGCAAATTATAAAAAATTTAACGCAAACAAATAATGTAGACATTCTTATAGACGTTATTACACTTTAGGACAACATAAATAAAGCTTGACCAAAATATTACTTTTCATTTTGTCAGTAGCATAAATCTATTTCTGAAATTTCACTGCATAAAAATGATACTGTCTTCCAGTTCACTTCCTCCTTTGCAACTTATTCACCAAGCGGATGCATTTCCTCCTTTTGAATTCCCAAATCTATCAGATCCTCATTATTCTCTAAGTAATTATTTTTCCCTCAATACATTTCCTTTTGTTATGGTTTCTTTGCATTTTCTTCTACCTGCATGTGTACGTCAACGAAATGAAGCGTCTTGAATTGCTGCACTTTTTTGCTTTACTTTGAAAATTCACCTCAGTATGAAAGTTATACTCTACGAAAGTACCTAAGTTCCGGTCTAATTTAGGAACATGGGGAAGTGAACTTTAACATGTTTTTGTCAAACTGTTTATCAATAGACTAAGTCTTGGTTTTATTCTTAAATCATAGTGACCGTTTGATTGTCGCTACTATGACTAATTGTATTATCATAATAATATAAGAATAAAACGATAAACTGGATATCCACTGAAAATAGTAAAAACATACTGTATGTATCGAGATTGTTTTGCGGATAAGATTTTAAAGCAAACTGTACATTCTGTGCATAATGCTAGTCTATCATGCATTGTAGTGAATGGCAACTGGGAAAAGGCAAATACGATAGGTGAGTTGAAAAGTAATTTTACCGTTGAACAATTGCATCACATATCCAACTCTACAAATCTCATTGTGAAACATGTTCTCTGGTTAAAATTATCTAGACAACGCTCCTACCGGAATCACGTAATGCGAGAGAGAAGGCAGAAATCAAGCCGACTGAACAGTTAAACGTATTCAGATAATCGCAGATAAAGGCAAAAATCCAGCCTCTAATGAATTTTTACGAATGATTATGAACAAGCAGTATTATGATAACATAGAAGTGAATAATGTTGATCGATAAAACTCTAGAATTAACTATAGGATCATGAATATCACCTAAGAAATCTTCATTTCTCAAACGACTAAACTCAAGTGTCTTGTCTGTTTTTTGTACGGTTCGCCACCAACAGAATGAGTTTTCACTAGGCCTACACAAATTTTCGTTCAGTTAGACAGAACGGAACCAAATAAAATACTTGAAAATATTGTTTTGTCAACTTATTAAACACCCCCCCCCTGAGTAGTCTGTGCTCTGTTATGTACTAAGAAGTACCGCAATTATACCCTTGATATATTTGAAAATTATTATGTTGTGCAGAGTAATATTTCTGTCAACGATTTCTACATTAACGTATGAAATATTTAGCCTTTTGATATAATATACTATAATACCACTAATTTCAACCTGTCATGTGTTGAAGTTAGTTGTGGAAACCAAGATAACAACAGAAGCGTAACGGTAACTAATTCCATAAAATTATCAGCAGTAAGTGCTAACCGTCAGTGTGTAAGTAGACTGGTCAAGCTGAAGCTATACAATCAAGCACCCACACTATTTGGTACATTAAGCGATAATAATCCTAGAAAATATCTCGTATTTTGAACTATTCAGTGGTTATTTTGATTTGACTTACTCTATTTCGGTCTGTCATATAAGTGCATGTGGGTTAGAGGATAATACACGCGTACTGTAGTATAATCGCAGCATCAAACTTCTTCTTACACAGAATTTGTGCTACGATGAGGCAATTGACCACCATACATGTTTACCCAGGAATTTGTTAATCTACATGAACTGCTGAAAGCATGCTGAAAATCCCATTCTGTATAACTATTATTGTTTGGAATAAAGTGATTATTATTATTGATTCTGAAGAGAGAAAGTCTATCAGCTCGTCAGCACCTGATAAACTGCTTCGTGATACCGAGTTGAGAAACAGTTCTGCTGGATATTCTTACATGAATGTGCGAACATATCGGGCTGAGAAAGTTTGGTGAGCGTCATTCTAGAGAACTGTCTTCATCTAAGTTGCCATAGCCAGTATAAACTGAGTTTGTAACACTGTAAGTGGTTTGGAGAGATGACTTCATTATATTGGTTGACCGAATACTAAATACATCCAGGCGACCCATTATTCACGTATTTCCAGTCTCTAAAAAGATCCATCAGTGCTGAATTTAGAGTGGTATTTGCATAACTCTGTTAGATGACTGCTTAGATGGAGAAGCCCTGGCAATCGCCATAACTGTCGTCCAAACTCACCTCAAAGTAACGACTCTCATGGTCGTTAGAAAAGCAAACCATATGAGTGATGGTACCATAATGCTTACGTCCAGGACGTAAAACTTAACGGCAAACATTTCACGTTTAATGAAAACATCAAGAATTCGGGAAATTATACCCCTTGCTAGCTTAAGCACTAACCATACCAGTGGTGGTTGCCGCCTACTTTACTTAGTAGAGGAAACTACTATCGACCCAATATGTGACTCATACTCAAAAAGTTAGGAAGTGAATGATGAAGATTTTGAACCTTGAAGACCACTCTCTTCACACTGGGTATAGAGTGGGCCGTTTCAATGGTAATATTAATGAATTTGTTAATAATCTCAATTTCATAGATAATTTAGAAATAAGTACGAATAATCTCCATGAAAAATACTAATGGAGAACTAGTGTGAAGACGAGAGACTTTCAAAAAACTCAGACTTTCTTATAAGAGTGTGGGAAGGCGTTTGATTTTTGGTGAGTGTGGTGACCAACAATTTCTAGTACTGTGCTATGTAAATGTCAATTGTTGCTTGTTTCTATTTATTTTGAATGCAAAACATAAATAATACCTCCGAATTCGAATTGCTAGTTTTCTGTCCTATTCGTTTTGTCATCTAGTTAACTGGTATTCTTTCATTGTAGAGTAGATTACACATATATATTACACCAGCCTCTAAACCCTATTGTAACAGAAACCTGCAATTTTACCGCCGAAGGCTGACAGATCCTTCAATCTTAGTCAAGGAAGTAAAAGAACACGCATTTACAGAATATAAGCAAAATTTATAATTACAAGGAAAATGTCAAAGAAGATACTAGAAATAAATCCATTATACACAACTTTAACTCTTTTAGGAGTAAAATGCTTTACATCAATACATTTCCCCACAGCCAAATGTATGATAAAACAGGATTAGGTTTCTTTTTAAAGGATCGACAATTGCGTAGGCGAATGTATTCAGGTGTTCTTTATCAGAAGGAAATACCAGGTTTTGACCATCCTAGGTTGAAGTTTAAAAATAAGATTTCGAAAAGTGGAATTAGATGGGTTGGTGAAAGCTGATATAAAGTATTGCTGTTATCTTATTATAATAACGTGGCAAATGTTAATATGCTAATACTTCAAACACTGACAAGAAATAGAGTCAATGGCGAAAATCCTCAGAAACTATTCGGATACTCCTCTGTGGATTGAGGTGAATTTTCAAGTTACTATGTAAGAATTTGTATTGATTCACTTTAAGTAGTTCTTTTCATACTTGTCGCATATGGTTTGAAAGCTACCTTTTGTCAAGGGTTGAAAAGTTTATATAATATCTAGCACGAAACTAGTGTGTATGTTGGTGAAACATTTTACTATCCTAAGACAGGATTCAGATTAACAAGATAAAAGGCAACTGAAACATGAAATCAAATATTTTTAAACATTGAAATACATCTGGAGTCAGTATATAAGAATCGATATAATGAGCACAAACTATTAGGCTTAAGTCGGATGCAGAGCCAGTAGACCTTAACAGTTCAAGAGACAAATGTCCAAAGTTTTGCTTTCTTCAACATCCGTGTAAGCAAATCACTATAATATTAGGCTTTCCATGCTAGTCTAGGACTTGTGGCAGGACCACAACAAAGTTTTTTATTTTTATGTCACACAGATTAACTGTTTGCACAACTACACGTATTTATATGCACCTTCTAATGGTAGAAGATGAAATTAGATTGAGAGGTGTTTCATACTACGAACCTGAAAACCATACAGTTTTCTAATAAATGAGATTATAATAGATTCCTGAAGAAACATTTTCGAGAGGAGGATAGGAATCTAATAAGAATACACAGCTGCAAGTTCAGGATCTCCTGAAGATCATCTCACCTTTGGGTAATAAGTATTAATACGTATGGGAATATTCATTTCCACTAATTTCTTACAGGCCCCTCAGGATCCATAAATCAGCAATGCTACCGTTTACACAGAGTGCAGTTTCAGAACTATAGATACATGGATTAAAATGTTCAAAAACTGATGTGGTATAAGTGGTTAATTTTCTCTGGATACATTATCTACTTACATTCGCCTGGATTTCGTATACATGGGATATAATTTCAATCATTTTCGATACCGGGTTTTTCTGAACACTAGCACAAACAAGTAAACAAAATTATGGTTGCGTACCTTATCAAATCTCTGTAAATTTTACGTGTTATATCGATATATGGCTTTATCTCATCCTCTTGTTGACAGACCTCACCTCCAATACAAATGTGCTTGAACAAACGAAACAAAAACTCATCCCTCTCTTTTTCTGTAAAAAGGCAGTAATCTGGTGAATCTTCGAGCAGCAGACACTAAGACTGTAAAAAATCTGGAGTATTTTTACTTCTCTTAACTTATCAGAAATAAGGATTGTTTCAAAAATTTCATCCATACATTTTCTAATCTTCCCAGACTCATAGGTCAGACTCGAAAGCTTATGGAATATATCCATATTTGTTAAAGTACATCTGACACTCTTTATTTTCACATTGCTGCAAAATTTTTATACGTTAGTCCGAAATCATAAAAAGTTAATTACATTGAAGCTGGAGAAATCGACAATACTTGTTGCACCATGGAGGTGTTGAGAAACTTCTGTAATATAATTGATAAAAATTATTGTTTGTACACTCACCATGAAAAATGAATCGGCCTTATATGGCGCAAACATGTGGTCAAAAGTAAATGTTACTACTTTAAGTCTACCCTTCATAGACCTGTGGTTGAATGATAAACACTTCAAACTCAATTTGCCATTTCAGTAAATAACTTTTGGTTTCCTTGTCAGACAGTGACGGGTATTCTCTTTCAGGAATAAGTATGAATTCTTCCCGGTTTTCTTCCATTGGCAACGATAATTTGAATTTGCGGGGGTGACACAACCCATAGCATTCAGTTAGAAAAAACACTAGAAGTTATGGTATATCTCATGTCCTATTTATTCAATATCGTTAAGATGAGCTCATAAAAATTATTTTATTTCTAGGCCCTCTCTTCTTGTTGATTTGAGACTAACCTAGATCCTGGAGTGTTACCTGTACAAAGAACAAATCGTCCCTCACGAACGCTGCAAGAGGAGGGAATGTATTGTTGGTACCGAAGCAGTAGCGCTCCTCGAAATTACATGTTTCATGACGTTCTCCCAAACAGGCTAAAATCACATAGAAAAGAGGTTATGAAAGGGCAGAAGTGGAGTCAAGAGTACAAGTAAACAGAATAAACAAAAGATAGAGGAAGGGGACTTAGTATAAGAAAGGTAGGACAAATAAAACACAAATGAAAATAAATGTAAAAAAGAGCAAGTGGTGGGGAGGAAGAAGAACAATAACCGAAAATAGATGAGGAATTGCATAGATTTAAAGGTGAGACGTTTGTAGGACAGGTACAGCCCCACCAGACCTAGACATGTAGGTGTACTCAGACCTTTGTTTGGTTCATATTAGTCCGACCTACATCAGAAACTGTCGCTTGATAATTCTGCCTTCTGATGAGAAGCTACTTTCATGGTCACAATGAGAGATACTGATGTGCTATTCCAGTATTATGCATTATTCCGGGTGGTTTTGGTTGTGTACTATTTGGTATGCCCGAGTTAATTCGCACTTATTTCTGCGGTAGCAGCGTTAGGCATATCCCACTTTCAGAGTCAGTCATTGTATGGCCAGCATTTCAGCTCACTGATATTTTCAGTTTCACTCCTTTGTATGTTCTCTGAAGAATTGGTTTCTCTTTTTAGGAGTGGTTATATAATGGGGTTTTTCACTTCCAAGTACTTCTATGCACAGGTTTGTACAGCGGCATATAGCCCATAGACTCGGAGTATAGGACTTTCTCTACATCCGCTGCTTAGTTGGCACCTAAACCCACCTCTCCGAAACTACTGAGGAATCACGCTCCATCTCTGTATGGCAGGTACTGACTCATCATAAGCAGTATGAACAACACAAGAACTAGAATATTCCGGTTCCAATATGGTATGCAGTTGTTAGAGGCTGCTAGCAATTTTCCAGTGGGGCGTAATCCTCTATGAAACCATGCTGAGCTTTATGCAGGATAATATCTTTTCAGATGTAGGCAGTAGTTCTACACACCGGTAGAATCCGGGATTCTGTCTACCTAATTCCCTAACAATGAGAGGGGAAGTAGCCTGCTGTCACTCCTTCGGTATCACTTATTTGTCCAATTGGAGCTGAAACAGCTTGCTTGTCGGCAGAGAGCATCATTACAGGGATTAAGAACTGTAAGTCTGAAGTTTGCACATCCAAGGGATTTTCTGGACGACGCTTTGCTAACTACTTTAGAACCAAGCAAGCAGACGCAGCAAGGGCAGTTCCAGTGAACGTCGTTATCCCTCATCCATACGCGCCAAATCATTTTCTTTGCGTCTGATTACTGGTGATGATGACGACGGTCCTAGTCTTTGTCAGATTTCTTACCACTTCCCTTGCAAGGCTTCGGCAGTTCCTGAGGGGAGTGGGATGTGAGTTAAGTTCCAGACGTTGTTGTGAACTTGGCGTCGCTCTGATGGAACTTAGTAATTTTCACCGTCAAAGAATGGCAGTGAACTGATTTGAAAAATGAAAAAGGTTATACAAACAAATAAAACTAAGTAAACGAACAACCGTAGTGATCGGGGGAGTTAGACAGAAAAGACTATTAGAATATCAGGGAATTTATGGATCGATTTTACCTGAAGCCTGTTATTACGGTTCGGTATATTTGGTTGCATTGACAGTCGGTTCTACAGGACCTGTGTTGCTGCATGATTATCAAGTGAAGTGAATGGTAAAGCACTGGTAATATGTGCCTTCAGGCACAGTCAAGCGTATGTTTCATAAAGTCTCAGGAGAGCTAGACTGAGCGCGTTCATCTGTTCATCTATGCAGCATAGGACTCTATAAAGACATCCATAACGCAATTCGTGTTTGTAACTAGATTCCGTTACAAGGAAACATGGGTCGGGTAGAACAAGCTATAACGGTGGACAAAGCAAGTTTTCCCTCACGAAGCTGGAGTGTGTAGTCGGAAGAATTCACAGTCTTTAGGAATGAAAAGCATTATGCTGGCCTAACCAAATCCTCAAAAGTTCCTAATTCTGACCGTGACTTGCATCTTGGGATTATTCACCATAGACGTGGGGTAAAGATGGGTAACTCATATACCCCAAAAGATCATAAGTGAATATCATAAGTATTAAGGGTCTTACAACAGATGGTTTTGAAACAGGATCAGCTGGTGAAAATTCAGTTTCATCCAAGCAGTTCGTAACCACGAGAAGAGTGGACCACTTTTACGGTGTAAAACACTCCCGCAAAATTAAAGAATACCCAGTGAACTGAGACGTATGTGTCACAACTTGACTCCCAGTCATTTTGCAATCATAGTTAAATCCGGTCAACACGTGCAGTGACCCAATGGGTGAGACAACTTTAAAAGTGATCGTCAACGGAGTTTACAAGGGCCTTTGACAATACAGTGGATAGCTTTCAAGCCGCGTTAAACATGCCTTTCTCCTTGGTCTCTGCCCTCAAAATTTTGGAAGATAACAGTTCTTTATTGCTTATATGGGTGTTTCTTTGAGTCCAGTGACTGTCACGATAACTCACGAAGTGAGACACAGTTCAGTGCTTCGAAACGAATGTCTGAACGCCATGTGAATACGGTCCGAATTACTTGTGACGTTTCGGGACATCTGCAAACAAGTGGATAAAGAGTATTTTTTAAGTCACTGAAGTTAGAAAAAAGTAATGTAAAAGTTAGACGCTTTATATTTGCCTACCTTGGCTGAAAATGGTTCATTCTCCTTTCTCATTCTTCTGTGGTTTTCACTGTAGCACTCATTGTTCATCTTCTAAATTATGGCACCAAGCAAATAATAATTTAATATGTCGTATAAACGGGTGTTTACAAGGAATGCATGCCATTTCTACAGGCGCAATAAGTTATGTCACAAATTGCAATCGTGAAGTATCATAAATAATTACTTTTTCAAAAGTTTAAATTGTTCAATTATTGTACAAGCAATCAGAACAGGTTATCATAAATGTTAAAGTGTAAACCCTTCACAATTAACACTATATTTGCGTAAGTGCTATGCCCTCACGTGATTAAAAGCTATTTCAGAAGGAGAACAACGTCCTCATGAACTGCGAAATGGCGTAAAATACAATTATTGAAAATTCGTCATTAAAAGTCCACCTACAAGATATATACGGCAAGTGGCTATAAAGTCCTTGGAATGGGAGTATACCTTTACAACGTTTAATGCAAATCATATCGGTGTAAGGATGGAAACTATGATGTTTCGATGAAAATAAAGCTTCGTTTAAACACTGGTGTTGTCGTGTTTCCAATCAAAGCAACCAGACTTTAAGCAAGCAACCAATAGGCACAAAGAGTAAGTCTCAGCTCTAATAAATGCTTATCCAATTAAGATAAAATGGAGTGTAATAGGGCGTAAATAAAAAGACAATTGTGAATTAGATAAGTGATGTTTCAGTGACAAGTAAATTGAAAGGTCTGCAAGCTTAGAATTCGTAAGACAACGTGACATGTAATATCTCCCACGAATTTCTGTAGGGCCTATAGGGTAACCTTGATGTTTTGCCGTCATTCTGAAATTTGGAAAGATTATTTACAAATGTAAAAGGTAATAATCATCGAAACTGCTGTAATATTTTCTAGCTGCTCGGAATTTTTTCCTTTGATGCAGTTTCTTATCAACAGTTTGCAGTATTCATAGTGAGTTTATAGAAAACTTTATTCTTTCTTTATTTTCACCAACTGTCCCTTCACGCACAATAGCATGCAGTAACTACATACAGTCAAGCATTGTAACCTCAACATCACAAAATCCCTACAGATAACTTGTTTAATAATAAATGCTTTACAAACATGAGCCATAATTGCACCTTCCATATCATTCATAGTCACAAGTAATTCACTAAGGATCTCAGAATATCTTAGTGATCTGAAAATGAATAATTATTAACACTGGTATAACTTAATTAACAGGTGTAGTAGTTATAGGACACAGCTGCTTGCTACTATTCGACAGAAAGCTGACACTAATTTTTGGCAGTTTGACATTTTAGAATGACAACCTATACTATTCTTCTTGCCCCAATGCGCACTGATATCAACATAATCTGATGCCGTGTTATGTATTGGGCAATTACGGTCTCCCGAAATTCCATGCGACAATGTAAATTAAACTAGTATCACATCTTTGCCTGAGTAATTTTCACTAGGAACTTCATCGAAATGGATATAATCACCAGGAAATCCAGCAGCTTGTCTCATTCACCGCATGATCTCTTCTATGTGCTATGGAATATTTCAATCATCACAGATGATAACAAAAGTGTTTAACATCCTCAAAACGTACATCTAACTTATTTATGTGGGCTATTTCTCTTTCAAACGCCGGATTCTCATAGAATAACTGCTATGAAAACAACCATTGTCTGTAGTCAATTTACAACCTTAAGATCTATGAAAATAACGAAGCTTTAAGGCTCCAAAACGCAAATAATAGTCTTTTCATGCGAAATTTCTTATAAAGGATGACTTTATTTAGTAATAAACCATCTGGGATATCAAGACAACTTTACCCATTATTACGAACACAATTCAGAAAAGTATTGCTTTTTTCGGCTACAGAAGCCTAAAACGAGTCAAGCATAATCTATTTTTGCAAAACTGAACGATTCTAACGCCTCTATAGGCGTGAACGCGATAACCCATACAGTGCACGATAATATATCACGATAACGTTTATCCTCATCCCAATAACAATATAAGTGTTTTTTAAATAATATAGATTCGTTAAATAAGATCAATAGAATTGCAGTTCATTAAAGATGCTTAAATTATTATATCAAAAAAGATATAATAGCAAATGGAATAGTAACTAAAATTATGAAAATTCCACGAAAATTCAGGATCATTCAAACCTGGATGGCCAAGATAAGGATAATACCCGAACTAACTTCTTTTGGATGCGCAAATTAGGCTTCTTAATATGGATCCCCACAGCCTCAGTTTTTAGGATCCAGTGAGGCAGGATACTTATTGATCAAAAATCTCTTCTAAAGATTGTGACACCGTATCTCTTTTGCGATGCTCTAAAGATTTTTCCACGCATATTCAAGGCGGCTTTAATGTTCTATGCGCCTGAACGAATGACTGGAAACTGCCATTCAGTACCAATGAGCGTGGGAACCCATATTCTATTAACTAGCACGTTGACTATAAGTTAAATCTGGGTGGCTCTTTTCTCCAATTCTTAAAATCTATAAAGGACCCAGACTTTACTTACACATATAACAAATGCACAGTACTCACAATCCATTGTTTCTAAAAATAGCAAAGACTCATGAGACTGTTGCACCAAAAACAGTACGCAACTGAGACTTAAGTTACTCAGTAAGAAGCTATGTTTCGTCAATTAATAGAGTATTTCATAGTAATCTTCGATTAAATGCACGGATACTATATGATTCTTGTTAAAAAATATTCTGCCTAGTTTTACACAGTACTAGTTTTTTCTAGCAAGAGGACTTCCACTCATGGAAAAACTGGTAAGTATCCCAGTATTAACTAAGTCACCGTTTTATCAAAGCATTTTATGAAATTATACGAGATCACGACGTTGGTGACCATCTAGTGCTTGGTAGTGATTAAACGTTCTTAGGTATCACACATTTTAGATGTAGAACATTGTGTTGATTTCACTCGAGTTTTATCGCATAAAGACTTGTCATCGTCACGACATCCAAGTTCAAAGTAGCAAAATGACATTTATGTTGTTACCATGGCTACCATAATGCGAATTGGCTGTCCTTGGAAATCCTCTTCGAAGGTAGACTATAGGGTTTCGCACCCAAAGGGACGTCCTTCAGAGTCTAGGGATACTCAGTAGGCCATTAGTGATTGAAGAAAACAGATGGACGGGAATGGGTAAATATTTTGAAAAATTTCGTAGACTTCTTTTTGATAAACTTAAGCAGCTGGCACTTCTGGTTATAAGATAGTTTAGGAAGGGTGGCAACGCATTTCCATCAGCAGGAACTACAGTCATGGTCCTAATAAACAAAATTCCAACTTGTAAATGACGGTTCCTTCAGAGTAGTTCTCGTACTCTCCTTCGGTTAGTTTATTTCAAGAAACCCATTTGTACGGAAGCGTATATGAAACGGAGTGAAAAGCTAGCAAGTGTATCAGTATTCAAAACTTCTATGAAGAAGGATGATTTCGTTAGAGGAATCTAAAGAACTAAAGCAGATACATTGTTTAACGGATAACTGGACATGAAATTTACAAACTGTATGTGGACTAATACAACTTATTTTACTGCACTAGAATTTGACCTCAACAACCGTAAGAGTCGTTGCTTCATTCAAATTACCTCTATGAGTGCCGTCGTTAGAAAAAAGGTAGTTGTAGTTGGGGATGGTGCTTGTGGAAAAACTTGCTTGCTAACTGTCTTCTGTAAAGGAGAATTTCCAGATGTATATATACCAACAATATTTGAGAGCTTTGTTTCAGATGTGTCAGTTGAAAATAAAAATGTACGTCGTTTTTTTCAAACAAATCTCACAGAATAGGTTGAACTGGCGCTTTGGGATACAGCTGGACAAGAGGACTATGATAGGTTGAGAACACTAACCTATCCCGATACACATGTGATAGTGCTATGTTTCAGTGTAGATAGTCCTGATAGCTTAGAAAATGTGGAAGAAAAATGGATGCCTGAAGTATGTACACTATTAGTTTCATCTACAGTGTGAAGATTAGAAATTTTCTGCCAAATACTCCTGTGATACTTGTTGCAAACAAGAAGGATCTTAGAAACGATGAAGTAACAAAAAGAGAACTTTTGAAAATGAAACAGCAAATTGTTACTGAATATGAAGGCAAACATGTAGCCGAAAAAATTGGTGCTCGAGCATACGTCGAGTGTTCAGGTAGACGTTATAATAGGTAATGTGACTTAATTTTAGCCAAATACAAAGATGGAGTCAACGATGTCTTTGATACTGCTGCTAGAATAGCATTGCACACCAAAACAAAAAAGCATCGCTGCCTTATTATTTGAAACTTGTGCATATCACATAGATTTCTTTTGTCAAATATTATACAAAGGTTGTTATCGCCAGTTTGTAACCCACATAAACCAGTCCAAAGTGATTTTGGAAAAAATGTACATACTATCTTGAAATATGTTAAATAACTATATCAGTATACTGCTTTATAACTAATTTCCTTTTTGACCTTGTTTCCGAATTTTTAAGAAAGCGTTTGTGCAGTAACCATGGAATTGTTTGAAAGTTTTCACTGTAAATAATTGCCAGTAACATATACTAGTAACTATTATTGAAAGTTTCTATTTTTACGCATTTGAAAGTTTTTATCAATAGCCTGTGGAAACAAATATACGTATGATATATAAGAAATTTCTGACCTCATCGTTGTCTTTCTAAAGCTCACTGCTTCCTGGCAAATTTTGGTGACTTATGTCTAACACTACCGTTTATGGTAACTAATCTCGTCCATTGGCTTCATCTGTCAATAATTTCAGAGTGCTTTGTAGATCAAATCATTTTGCTTAGTTGCGTCCACATAATCGAACAATCCTTTTCCACCCAGCTTCGTGGAATTGGATTCTACTCTAATTTTATTCTTGAAAGCCATCTTCCTCATAACTCTAACCTTCTCATATACCATCTTTAACTGTGTTTTAGTGGCTGACTACACCATCATCTTTTTTCAGTTTGAGTTTCTGCGTATTTTTTTTGAAATCTAAACGCCAAGGGCTACTATTTTTAATTTTTTGGAACCATGAATTTAAATTAATGACTTTTTAGCCATTGAAGACCACGAAACTGAAATATAAACCAAAACGAGTTAAAAAAGTGAGTTAAATTTCGAAATATTAAAAAGGTTAAACACTGACCCCAGCACAGCTCTTTATGGACTTTGTATTAGTTGTCTCCTGTCAAGTGATATTGAAACCCCAAACACGCACTTAAGCTTATTCCAGCCTCGCTTCACATGAAATAAATAGATAGATACTTCCTTGATTCGCAATGTTCATTTAATATTAATAAATTCCCCGCTAATTTTAAGAGTTTTCGTTTTAAGCTCAATTTCTTTTTGATACATTTGTGGTTTGTTGATAAACATGTATTTTAAAGAATAACAGGCGAAAAATACTTACGAATATGCACAAGAGTATGGTTTGAGGGGAAATTTGAATTTTTCCCATATAACTCAACAACGCTTTTACCTAGAACCGACAGGAATTTTAACATTTTCCTCGGTGCAGGTTCCTTAATGACCCGAAAAGTAGTTTTGTCATGATGAATGCAAAAGGAAAGTTTCATGTAAATATGTCTGACGAATGAATAATTGCCGAAGGCATAAATGCAAAGATCACCCATTTCGAAACTATTCTCGAAGACAGTCACTTTTTCGACCACCATATAGTACTATTGACGGCTGTGACTCACAAAACACTAGTGTTCAAGAGAATACATGTTCAGAGTGGTTACAGACGTTAAGTTATACTTATATTTTTTTGCAGTGTAAATCGTAGTAGCTTCAATTCAAATATATATTTCGGTGAATTTATGGAGTAAACTTCTTAGTTTGGTCACTGTAACATATGCTCAGCAGAACTAAACCTGAACTAATTCAACATAAAGAAGAATGTAAAAAGCGCTGATAATTTCGTAACATGAATGAGTTGATGTGAAAAATATGCTACAGACGGCCTAGTATATTAAAACTTTAAACATTCCAACTACCAAACAACTCGGCCAATATATTCTTCAAATATAGGTGATATTCACTTATGTTTCTGTAAGGCTGTGATGCAGATTTTCTGGACATGCAGTAGCCAAAATATAATTCGCCAGTAAGAATTAACCTGAGTAGCCAAAATATAATTCGCCAGTAAGAATTAACCTGTAAAACGCTAGACTAGTAATTAACCCACACAAATGAATGTAGCTAAAAGTATAAAAATTTTTGGTTCAAAGCACAAACTGTCACATCAGTCATTTAAATTTTCTCGAAATATAACTTGCTCTACAAAAGCGTGAATAAATCATTTACTTCAACATGAACTTTAGAGAATACTTATACTTGTAACTACCGCTATGATAAAATCAAGACTGTGAAAGGAACAAAGGTTCTAGTTTTCGATAGACATGAATTGTTATCTAGGGATTACGTTAGTTGAAAATAACTTTTTTACACAGCACTTTGAGACACTTGGAGCATAAGATGGATATCCCAACTATTAGTTTCTGAATTAATAGTAGTTTGACTGTTAAGTTAAACTTAGCATGTGATATCTGCTGCGGTAAGCTTTAAAGAAATTCCATGCTATATTTCGTTTTCCTTTTTAATGTCATAAACGTTATCAGATAGACCTCATTTCTCAAACGGTAAATGCTTATTGATAAAGAAAGTAATGGTGGGGCTTTTCGATAGAAATTGTGCCCCGATTTATTTTCCTTATGCAAAATCCAAGACTCGCAGTTTAACTTCAGTTATAATGGGCTCATTTCTATAAATGGTTAGCATTTCATAGATGTATATAATTAAACTATCCTAGAGGACTTATTAGAAATAAACCTCTGGTATTTTTTCTCCATAGAATTCCAACTTTGAGGAGTGTACATCATGCAGTGTGTAATTACTATTGATATTCATAAATTTGGGTGAAAACATTTACTTATTTGTCATATTGTAGGATGTTAATACTATACTGGGAATTGAAGAAAGTTGGAATCCATAGGGCTGTGAGTTGCGGATAATCTACTGATAGCATCGTAGGAGCTGAATAACTAAGAGTCACAAGTCGAAACAATCCATCTGTTTGGTACTACCTGGTTTTGAATGATTCTGATTTTTCTAAGATTTAGAAATGTTCTTGCAGTGATCCGTAAAATGAACTTCCAACTTCTCGAAATCCAAATATACACTGACATTTTATTTGTTTTATCTGTTTGATCATTGCTACTGTAGTCTGATACTCAGGCATCTGTTATCTTTACATCTTCATTAGAGCTAGACTTAATGCTTAAGTTTCCCAAACGACTGCTTTTAATCACCCTTAGTATTAGAATCAAGTCTCGCAAGATAACTAATGTTGTCTGAATCCAGCATTACAGTCTGATAGTAATCGAAATTTCACTCAAATGACAGTTACTTTCGGTCTGTCTGAATAGTAATTAAATTGTAACGTTTCTCATGTCTTCATAGAAATGTTGTTCATAATTTTGTTGCATTTCGTGGAGACCAGATAGCGTAAAAGATTTTCATGTTAAAAGATGCTGCTTCTGTGTCTGAGTGTCCTGATTAGACTTAATGGGAAAAGGCGTGAATTTTATCAGTAATTCATTTAAAAATAAAAGCTTATTGCATCTAATGTAATTACTGTTATTAGAGGATTATAAAATGTAACTGGTTTAATATACTCTTACAAAATTATTACGTTTAAATTCTTTATCTCCAAAACGTTTAGACAAACCTTAAGATAAACATTTTTGTAAGAACTTTGGCACCTTAAAGCTATTCTCGATGTCTTATCACTAAAAAAGAAGTTTACAATGATTTAGTGAACACATTTCGAAAGTTTAGAAACACTGAATAGAATTTTTATTTTAAAACTGCTGTTCTTCCGAGGTTTTCATTACTAACGCCATTATTCAATGCTTATGTTATTTTATTATTTATTTATTTTATTCATTTGCTTACCGAGTGGAATGTAGGGCCTCAATCTTGAGCTTTGAAATATCACTAGTAGTGGTGTTTATTTTTATGGGTTGGGATTGCCAACCTCACTTCCAGCCTTCTCCCATTACCGGTCTCACTACCGGCTAAGTGAGGTTTAGGTATGTGTCTGCAGGGAGTCGAACCCCGGACCACGCGCGTGGCTAGTGAGTATTCTACCACTGAACCACTGACATACAATAATATGTAAGACCATCATACATTTTATAAAGATATATATACCTGTGTTTAACTTGACTTGCATTAAATGACTGAGAACTTTTTCATGATGGCTGGTCACGTACACGCTCTCAGTGTCCAATGTTTCAGCAGACTAAGACCACGCGCATCTGAATGTAAAGAATATCTTATTTTGAGTAAAAGACAAATCAACATCATAATGTAAAAATAGTACATTAAATTACAGGTTTGGTCATGAGCTGAAATCAGTTAGGAGAGCACTGAACAGCCGTTTCGTCCTAGTTCGGAACTCTTCATCATTAAGCACCTACGGGGGTTCGAACCTAGGATCTTCGGGTTACAAAGCGAGTTTGTAGACCATTAAGCCACTGAGACCCGATCCAATGTCCCATGAATCCCCGGTTGGTGCATACTGTTGAAGAGTCTCGGACTGGGACGAAACAGCTATCCAGTCCTCCCTTATTTTTCAGTGGTCCTCGTTGTCAGACCCGTAAAACCAATCAGATTCCAGTAAACCAATATTTGATAATGCATTAACTGTCCAAAAACGTAAGTGCTTCAACTTAATGAATATCTTTTAATCTTTTAGAGAGTAAAAAGTACTGTATTGTTTTAGCTATGAACGAAGCAAGAAAAACAATTTCAGCAGTATAATATGATATCAAATGATTTTACCACTTGCTGTCAATTTCATATAGGCTGACTAAATTTTAATGTGAAATGTATAATATACTCACACATTTCAATTCATTGGCTTACAGATGGAGGTCATTAATACTAAAACTTGTAATTGTGTTGTAATCACTTAAATATTCGCATACTTTTGAACAGTATGATTCTAGTGACGTAATCTTCAGTAGTCACACGTGAAAGTTTACGTGACTTTATTTCGGCTTGCTTTGAAAACACGACTACTGTCATATACGTTTCTCTTTCTTATTTTCAAATAGTTGTGATAACTGCCTCTTCGAATCTATAACTACACGCAATAAACGACTTTCACATCATGTTTAATGGTAACTGTGTAGCAATCTTTGACAGAAGAAACAGTGTTAGTAATAAGTATCTTCTAATGAACTCAATGACATGCACACATATGAAATAACTTGTATGACTCATCACCGTCAAACCAGAACTTTTAAATATAATAAATAAGTATTATATGTACGTGTATGTATACGAATATATTTGGAGACAGAAAAAGACTTCATTAATAGAAATAATTGTGCGTCGGTGGCACAGCGGTAGAATGCTCGCCGACCACTCAGGTGGTCCGGGGTTCGATCCCCGGCCGACGATGCACTCCTTTACCTCGCTAAGCCAGTAATAAGACTGGTAAAGAGGGAAGGTTGGGCATGAGGCTAGCAACCTCATCCTGTAAAAAAATAAACACCACTGCTACAGAAACTTCAAGTCTCTAGCTTGAAGCCCTATGTTCCACTGGGAACGTAAAGGAATAAAAAAATATAGAAATAATTGTGATGATTAGTGAAAGAGTAACGGTATCTACAACATTTTCAGTTTATGGAAGTATGGTTTGGTTTCTGTATTCACATTCTTTTTCTATTATAACTAGCTTATCAACATGCCTCCGGTAGAAGTACTATATAAGTTAAAATGTTACCTCTGAAAGAAATGGGTATTTCAATAGCTTCAAAATCTGTTTATAAATCTCAAACGTACTTTGCCACGATCTGATTCATTCAGCACTTATTTTATGCGTACCTTCTGAAAGCCGTTAAGCTTTACTTCCTGCCTGTAACATAATAATATAATAAAATTATCGGATCAAGTGAAATTTCTCTTTTAGAGCATCCTATTGTATTAATCGACGTACATTATCCTTATGATTCGCCAAATAATTACACAAGGAAAATCCTAAAATACAAAGGAAAAACCTAAAATGATTTGGAAGTTGACACTATTACTGCAATAAATGACAGCTCAAGTGAGTCAAAATGTTTCTATAAAATGTATGTCACTA